CAGGGCCTATCCCCCCCCCTCAGGGCCTGGCCGTCCCCTCAGGGCCTGTCTGCTCCCCTCAGGGCCTGTCCGCCCCCTCAGGGCCTGTCCGCCCCCTCAGGGCCTGTCCCCCCCCTCAGGGCCTGTCCGCCCCCCTCAGGGCCTGTCCGCCCCCCCCAGGGCCTGTCCGCCCCCCTCAGGGCCTGTCCACCCCCTCAGGGCCTGTCTGCTCCCCTCAGGGCCTGTCCGCCCCCTCAGGGCCTGTCCTGTCTGCTCCCCTCAGGGCCTGTCTGCTCCCCTCAGGGCCTGTCTGCTCCCCTCAGGGCCTGTCTGCTCCCCTCAGGGCCTGTCCCCCCCCTCAGGGCCTGTCCGCCCCCCCCAGGGCCTGTCCGCCCCCCTCAGGGCCTGTCCGCTCCCCTCAGGGCCTGTCTGCTCCCCTCAGGGCCTGTCCTGTCCACCCCTCAGGGCCTGTCCCCCCCCTCAGGGCCTGTCTGCCCCCTCAGGGCCTGTCCCCCCCCTCAGGGCCTGGCCTGTCCCCCCCCTCAGGGCCTGTCCGCCCCCCTCAGGGCTTGTCCTGTCCGCTCCCCTCAGGACCTGTCCACCCCTCAGGGCCTGTCTGCCCCCTCAGGGCCTGTCCGCCCCCTCAGGGCCTGTTCCCCCCTCAGGGCCTGTCTGCTCCCCTCAGGGCCTGTCTGCTCCCCTCAGGGCCTGTCTGCCTGTCTGCCCTCTCAGGGCCTATCCACCCCCCCTCAGGGCCTATCCTCCCCTCAGGGCCTGTCCTCCCCCTCAGGGCCTGTCCTCCCCCTCAGGGCCTATCCTTCCCTCAGGGCCTGTCCACCCCCTCAGGGCCTGGCCTGTCCGCCCCCTCAGGGCCTATCCTTCCCTCAGGGCCTATCCCCGCCCCTCAGGGCCTGGCCGTCCCCTCAGGGCCTGGCCCCTCCCCTCAGGCACACAGCGGCGTCAGGGGCTCGGCGCGCTTTTGCTGATTCCTGAGCAACCCGAGTTTCCGGAAAAATTGCAAGTTGACCCCAAAAGTTGGGATCGTTTCCGGCAGCGGCTGGGAACCCAGTGCCCTGACACCGGGAGCCGCTCCCCGCCTGACGGAGTGACCCCTGGCTGACCTTTGCCTGAAGCGTTGGGTCCGTTTCTAAGCAACATGCCCGGCAGCCCGGTTACACTTCCCACCCAGCACAGCCTGTTTGTGACTTTAAAATTTTTTTTTTGTGACTGGTTTTTAGTCCAGTTTGGTGAGATGCTTGTCTTCAGCTTTTACTCTATTCGTGTTTTATTCTATTTTATTAGTTATTTTTGCTAGCAGGGTTCTTTTCTTGGAAAGTACACTTTTATTTATTTATTTTTTAATTTTTAATGATTTTAAAGAGGAAGAGAGAGGGTGAGAGAGGGAGAAACATCAGTGATGACAGAATCATGGACCGGCTGCCTCCTGCACGCCCCACACTGCGGATGCAGCCGCACCCCGGGCGTGTGCCCTGACCAGAATCGAACCCTGACCTCCTGGTTCATAGGTCAACGATCAGCCACGGAGCCATGCTGGTATTTGGACTGTCTTGTTGAAGTTTAGGAACTCTTTTTAAAAAGTATATATTTTATTGATTTTTTACAGAGAGGAAGAGAGAGGGAGAGAGTTAGAAACATGGATGAGAAACATCAATCAGCTGCCTCCTGCACATTCCTACCGGGGATGTGCCCACAACATGCCCCTGACCAGAATCGAATCCGGGACCCTTCGGTCTGCAGGCCTACACTCTAGCCACTGAGCCACACTAACTGGGGCCCTCTTCATCTTCTTTTTAAATAATCTGCTGTTATTTTATTATTCTTTTTTTCTTCTTCACCTTCTTAACGTCTTCTTACAGGAAAGAAGTTGTTAGTTCTTAGGAAACCCAACTCGAGGTCACGCTTAGAAACCTGCCCTCGTGCGCGTCTGTGTTCTGGGACGTGTTTTGCAGCCGACGCCGGCCCGCGATGGCGAGCGCTGCCAGCGTGTCCCCCGAGGTGGAGGCTCTGGACGCCCCGCGCGTGGAGGACGGTGAGGAAGCGCCCAGCGGCCGCAGACACCGCCCCTTCCGTTCTGTGGTTCTTTCCTGAGGGCGTCCTCGTTCTTTCTGTTAATCCTCACCTGAGGATATTTTTCCCATTGATTTTTAGAGAGACTGGAAGGGAGGGAGAGGAGACAGAGAGACTCATGGATGGATTGCCTCTCACACGCGTGCCCCCACCTGGGCGGGGTCGAGCCGTGTTCCTCGGGGTGCAGGCCGCCGAGCCCACCGCCAGGCCAGATGTGAGTCTCCTAAACGCGGTTTTTCTTTCCAAGCGGGAGCTCATGTTATTCTGTCTTAAGTCGAAACAGAGAGAAGCTGCGTCTGCGAGTTTTGAAAGGGGCAGGCGTCCGAGTTTTCGCTTCCGAGGCCTTCACTGAGAAACCCCAGGCCCTTCTACCCCAGGCCTGGGTGTGGCCAAGATGTTTCTGTGGTTGTTGGTTTTGTTTTGTTTTTCTCTGGAGACTTTTACATTGCTTTTCTGGTGGGCTGAAGTCGGGGGCACTGCCGGGCCCCAGGAAGAACATTGGTTCTTGGTCTGCCCCCCGCCGGCCCGCTGGGCGCTGAGCTGGGCTGACCCTCCCTGACCCCCCCACCCCCCAGCCAGTTCCCTCCCCGTCAGTCTGTGGAGCTTCTGGAAGAAGCGAAGACCTCTCCATGCTCTGCCCGGACCCTGCAACGACTCCCTGCTGCTCCTGTCAGAGCCCCCGCCCGCTGAGTCCCCCCCAGGGCTTCTGCTGAGGCCGGTTAGGACCGCCTTAGCTCCTGCTAAAAACTAGGGTTGAGAGCCACTCAGAATAACAGCACTGACGAGCCACGGGCGCGTGGAGAGCGGAGGCAGCTGGGCCCCTCGCCTGCTGCAAACGGCCCGCACACTCGGACGGCAGGGAAGGGCTGGCCGGGCCCCTCGGTCCCAGCTCCACCCCCCAACCCCCCGGCCCTGGTGGGAAGCGTGTGGAAGGCAGTCCATCCATGTGTCTCTCCACATGGATGTTTGTCTCCCCCCCTCCCTTCCGCTCTCTAAAATCAATGGGAAAACATCTCAGGTGAGGACGAACAACAGCAACACAAAGTGTGGGGAAGACCAATGTGTGTGGTGTTATGGAAACAGTCCTGACTCTGCAGACCTCGCCCCCAGGGGTTCAGGGTGCCCCCTGGGTTCCTGGGAACACGCTTTGAGAACCATCGCCACGGTGTCCGGGTTGAGCTTTGTCCAGATTTGTCCCAGAACTTCCGACTCGAACATCCGCATCTGCTTTTCTCCATCTTGACTCTCACCCCGATTTCCAGAGCGAGATGACCTGGAGGGCCCCGAGTTCGAGGTGGAGCCCCTGCCTCCGGGGGCTGAGGGTGGCGTTTGCTTGGGGAGCCGGTAGGTGCTGGGGGGGCACCCCGGCCCTTGGGGTGGGGGCTCAGGCCTGGGCTGCGTCTGAGCGGTGCTGTCTGTGTCAGCACCGGGGCAGGGCCGAAGGCCGAGGCCAGGGAGCTGAGGCCCGTCCCCATCCGGGACCGGCAGCACAGAGAGAAGGACCTGCTGCAGAGGACGCGGTGAGCCCGGTGGGCGGGGGAGGGGGAGGGAGGGTGGAGGGGGCGGGCGGGGTCCTGTGGGCCGGGCTGGGCCTCGGCCACCCCATCCTGCCCTGCGTCCTGTGGGCTCAGCCTCCCTGCCCCCGGCTGCCCCCAGCTTAGCAGCAGAGCCGGGGCCACCACCGCGTGTTCCCCCTGCATGTCCCCACCCGTGTCCCCACTGCGTGTCCCCACTGCGTGTCCCCCCACGCGTGTCCCCACCCTGTGTTCCCCCGCATGTCCCCACCCCGTGTCCCCACCATGTGTCCCCACTGCGTGTCCCCCCACGTGTGTCCCCACCCCATGTTCCCCCGCATGTCCCCCCCCCCGTCTCCCCACCCCATGTTCCCCCGCCTGTCCCTACCCCATGTCCCCCCCGCGTGTTCCCCAGCGCCCACGGGGACACATCTCAACCGCATGAACATTGGAGACGCTTGCACAGCCGTCCCCGCCCTCAGCCCCGGCTGCTCGTCCCGGTCGGGTGTCCTGTCTGGTGCTTCCTGCCGAGAGGAGCCTGCAGCCTGGGCCTGTGCCCTGGACCAGAATGGAACCCGGGACGCCCGGTCCGCGGGCTGGTGCTCTAGCCACTGAGCCACACCGGCTTTGGCCACACGGTGTTCCTCTGTGCGACCTCAGTCCCTGCTTCCCCTGAGAAAACCGAGACCCCTGGCCCCTTGTGGGGCGGGCTCCGTGTCTCAGTGTGAGAGCTGGTGCCCGGGGTTTGGCGTGTTAGCGGAGGCGACCTGCACGCCACAGAGCGGCGCTGGAGCCGGGCTCAGCAGCCCGTCGGCGTGCTGTCCGGCGGTCCGAGGCCTGTGCCCTGTGCCCCATGGCCCTTCCCACTCAAGGTCACCCCTGTGGGCGCAGGTCACACGGGCTCCTGGCAGGGCTTTCCGGAAACGGGAGCAGCCCGGGCAGACACAGCACCGAGACCCTGGGCATGCGGCACGCCCTGGCCTGGCCCCTCTGGAGGCGGTGGCGGTGCCGGGAGGAGGCCAGGCCGCGCCCCAGACCGTGACAGGCTCCGCCCCCCATTGCAGAGGGGAGCTGCACGCCACCCGCCTGCGGATAGACCACCTCACCCGGCAGCAGAGGGGGAAGCCCAGAGCCGCGGCGGAGGGAGAGGCCAGCCACGCGTACGTCCGGGGCCCCGGGGCAGACAAGCCGCCAGTCAGTGACGTGGCCTGGCTAGGGTGGCTCAGTGGACAGAGTGCCAGCCCTCAGAGGGAAGGGTCCCAGCTCGATTCTGGTCCAGGGCACGGACCTCGGGGCAGGCTTGGTCCCTGGCCCTGGTCAGGGCATGTGCAGGAGGCACGTGTCGATGTGTTTCTTGTGTCAATGTCTCTCTGCCTCTTCCCCCTCCTTCCACTCTCTCTAAATCACTGGTGAGTGGGGATGGACAGCAAAGCCAGGTGAGAAGCGGCGACCGATGGACTCACAGGGCAGGAAGCCAGTGGCCAGAAGGCCCAGCGAGGGTCATCGGGAGCGTCCCCAAGGCTGGGACCCCAGAGACTGGAAGGAGCGCTGGGCGGAGAGGGGCGGCCCTCGGGGCTGGGCTTGCCCAGGGGAGAGGCCACTCGGGGGTCCCGGCCGCCCACCCTGCCTCATCCCTCCCCCTTGTCCCCACCCCGCAGCGGGGCCGGGTCTGAGACCAGGGCTGGGCTCTGGGTCGGCCGGAGCGCGGGGAAGAGCGGCCATGCCCCGCTCAGCGGCTGACATTCCGAGTGTCCAGGTCCTGCCCAGCCTGTGAGCGCCGCCTGAGGGCTGGCAGCAGGACGGCCCCCCCGGAGAAGCGGGGCCACGGGGAGCGGGGCTGGGGTCTCAGGGGATGGGGGTCATGGGGAGCGGGGCTGGGGTCTCAGTGGGATGGGGGCCACGGGGAGCAGAGCTGGGGTCTCAGAGGGATGGGGGTCACGGGGAGCGGGGCTGGGGTCTCAGTGGGATGGGGGCCACGGGGAGCGGGGCTGGGGTCTCAGAGGGATGGGGCCCACGGGGAGCGGGGCTGGGGTCTCAGTGGGATGGGGGCCACGGGGAGCAGGGCTGGGGTCTCGGTGGGATGGGGGCCACGGGGAGCGGGGCTGGGGTATCGGTGGGATGGGGGCCAGGGGAGCGGGGCTGGGATATCAGAGGGATGGGGGTCACGGGGAGCGGGGCTGGGGTCTCAGTGGGATGGGGCCCACGGGGAGCAGAGCTGGGGTCTCAGTGGGATGGGGGTCACGGGGAGCTGGGCTGGGGTCTCAGAGGGATGGGGCCACGGGGAGCAGAGCTGGGGTCTCAGTGGGATGGGGGCCACGGGGAGCGGGGCTGGGGTCTCAGAGGGGATGGGGGTCACGGGGAGCGGGGCTGGGGTCTCAGAGGGGATGGGGGTCACGGGGAGCGGGGCTGGGGTCTCAGTGGGATGGGGCCCACGGGGAGCGGGGCTGGGGTCTCAGTGGGATGGGGGTCACGGGGAGCGGGGCTGGGGTCTCAGAGGGATGGGGGTCACGGGGAGCGGGGCTGGGGTCTCAGTGGGATGGGGCCCAGGGGGAGCAGAGCTGGGGTCTCAGTGGGATGGGGGCCACGGGGAGCGGGGCTGGGGTCTCAGAGGGATGGGGCCACGGGGAGCAGAGCTGGGGTCTCAGTGGGATGGGGCCCACGGGGAGCGGGGCTGGGGTCTCAGTGGGATGGGGCCCACGGGGAGCTGGGCTGGGGTCTCAGTGGGATGGGGGTCACGGGGAGCGGGGCTGGGGTCTCAGAGGGATGGGGGTCACGGGGAGCTGGGCTGGGGTCTCAGTGGGATGGGGCCCAGGGGGAGCGGGGCTGGGGTCTCAGGGGATGGGGGTCACGGGGAGCGGGGCTGGGGTCTCAGTGGGATGGGGGTCACGGGGAGCGGGGCTGGGGTCTCAGTGGGATGGGGGCCAGGGGAGCGGGGCTGGGGTATCAGTGGGATGGGGGTCACGGGGAGCGGGGCTGGGGTCTCAGAGGGATGGGGCCCACGGGGAGCGGGGCTGGGGTCTCAGTGGGATGGGGGCCACGGGGAGCGGGGCTGGGGTCTCAGTGGGATGGGGGCCACGGGGAGCGGGGCTGGGGTATCGGTGGGATGGGGGCCAGGGGAGCGGGGCTGGGGTATCGGTGGGATGGGGGCCAGGGGAGCGGGGCTGGGGTCTCAGAGGGATGGGGCCACGGGGAGCGGGGCTGGGGTATCGGTGGGATGGGGGCCCACTGGGAGCGGGGCTGGGGTCTCAGAGGGATGGGGCCACGGGGAGCGGGGCTGGGGTATCGGTGGGATGGGGGCCAGGGGAGCGGGGCTGGGGTCTCAGAGGGATGGGGCCACGGGGAGCGGGGCTGGGGTATCGGTGGGATGGGGGCCCACTGGGAGCGGGGCTGGGGTCTCAGAGGGATGGGGCCACGGGGAGCGGGGCTGGGGTATCGGTGGGATGGGGGTCACGGGGAGCGGGGCTGGGATATCAGAGGGATGGGGGTCACGGGGAGCGGGGCTGGGGTCTCAGTGGGATGGGGCCCAGGGGGAGCAGAGCTGGGGTCTCAGTGGGATGGGGGTCACGGGGAGCTGGGCTGGGGTCTCAGAGGGATGGGGCCACGGGGAGCAGAGCTGGGGTCTCAGTGGGATGGGGGCCACGGGGAGCGGGGCTGGGGTCTCAGAGGGGATGGGGGTCACGGGGAGCGGGGCTGGGGTCTCAGAGGGGAGGGGGGCCACGGGGAGCGGGGCTGGGGTCTCAGTGGGATGGGGCCCACGGGGAGCGGGGCTGGGGTCTCAGTGGGATGGGGGTCACGGGGAGCGGGGCTGGGGTCTCAGAGGGATGGGGGTCACGGGGAGCGGGGCTGGGGTCTCAGTGGGATGGGGCCCAGGGGGAGCAGAGCTGGGGTCTCAGTGGGATGGGGGCCACGGGGAGCTGGGCTGGGGTCTCAGAGGGATGGGGCCACGGGGAGCAGAGCTGGGGTCTCAGTGGGATGGGGCCCACGGGGAGCGGGGCTGGGGTCTCAGTGGGATGGGGCCCACGGGGAGCGGGGCTGGGGTCTCAGTGGGATGGGGGTCACGGGGAGCGGGGCTGGGGTCTCAGGGGGATGGGGGTCACGGGGAGCTGGGCTGGGGTCTCAGTGGGATGGGGCCCAGGGGGAGCAGAGCTGGGGTCTCAGGGGATGGGGGTCACGGGGAGCGGGGCTGGGGTCTCAGTGGGATGGGGGTCACGGGGAGCGGGGCTGGGGTCTCAGTGGGATGGGGGCCAGGGGAGCGGGGCTGGGGTATCAGTGGGATGGGGGTCACGGGGAGCAGAGCTGGGGTATCAGTGGGATGGGGGCCACGGGGAGCGGGGCTGGAGTCTCAGAGGGATGGGGGTCACGGGGAGCGGGGCTGGGGTCTCAGTGGGATGGGGGTCACGGGGAGCGGGGCTGGGATATCAGAGGGATGGGGGTCACGGGGAGCGGGGCTGGGGTCTCAGAGGGATGGGGGTCACGGGGAGCGGGGCTGGGATATCAGTGGGATGGGGGTCACGGGGAGCGGGGCTGGGGTCTCAGTGGGATGGGGGTCACGGGGAGCGGGGCTGGGGTCTCAGTGGGATGGGGGCCCGGGACCGGCTCTGAGGCACCTCCGTCCTCCCCTTCGCCGTGCGGTGCAGTGGGGGCCGCCTCCGGCCAGGTGCCCGCGCCTCCTCTGGGAGCCGGAGACCTGGAGGGACAGTCCCGGCCCGGCTGAGGGAGACGAGTGAGTGGGCGCCCCTGCCGGCCGGCGGCCGCCCCACACAGCCCCCCTCTTGCAGGAGCGCCCTGTACCACCCCTCCCTGCTGGAGGGCCCGTCGGAGGGCCTGCAGCCCATGCGGGAGGAGCTGGAGGCCAAGAGGAGGAGCCTGCTGGTGCAGGAGGCCCAGCAGCTCTCCAAGGAGAAGGAGGCCTGGGGCAAGTCGGAACGGAACCGGCTGCTACGGGTCAGGTGGGCCTGGCCTGTCCAAGTCCCTGCCGCCGCCCTTACGTCCACGTCCCCCCAGACCCCTCCCCTCAGCTCCCCGCCTCCCGAGGCCCCGCCCTGGCTGTGAGGAGAGAGAGCAGGTGTGTCCCAGCCAGGGACCCCCACCCCCCTGGAGGATGTGTGACCTCCTTGGCCCCTGTGCATGCACACGTGTGTGTGTGTGTGTGTGTGTGTGTGTGTGAGAGAGAGAGAGAGAGAGAGTGCATGTGTGTGAGAGTGTATGTGTGTGTGCACACGCGCCTATGTGTGAGTGCGTATGTATGTGGGTGTGTGTGAGTGTGTGAGTGTGTGGGTATGTGTGTGGGTGTGTGTGTGTGAGTGCATATGTGTGAGTGAGTGTGGGTGTGAGTGTGTGAATGCATATGTGTGAGTGAGTGTGAGTGTGGGTGTGTGTGAACCCCTCTTCACTCAGCGCTCTGTCTCCATCAGGGGCCCCCACTCTCTAAAAACCAACCCCAGGCCACACCTCTCTGCCGCCCGTGTGGTCTAAGTCCCAGGTCCTCACCCACCTGGTCCTGGTGTCGGGCTCCCCCCGCCGGACCCAGGCTCCCTGGGCTCCCGGACCTGCGTCCCGTCCGGCGGGGCGGGCGCAGGCGAGCCGTGCGTGTGTCCCGCAGGCGGTCCACGCACCTGCAGAAGGAGCACGGGCTGCGGCACCAGAAGCTGGTGGAGGACGCCCGGAAGAACCACCGGGTGGCGGTCATGTTCCTGAAGGCATCGCTGGGCAGGTGCCTCCTCTGGCGGGCAGGCAGGGGGGCGGGTGGGCAGGGGACGGGCAGGCGGGCGGGGGGAATCTGGGTGTGGGGCCGGCCTCCCTTTGTCGCCGAGTCTCGTCATCCTCATCCAACGGGAACGAGTGCGCGTTGCTGCGGGCTGCTGGCCCAAGTGTCCAGGGCAGGCCCTGTCCCCGCCCCCCGGTCCCATGGGCTCCCCTCCGTCCCCGCGGCTGCCGGTCACCGGCCGCCCCGTCCCCAGGGTGCAGGAGCAGGAGCGGCAGCGGGAGCGGGCGGCCATGGAGCACGTGCAGAGGCGCATGGACGCCGTGCTGGCCCTGAAGCACAGCATCACCGCCAACCGGGTAGGGCCTCCTGCTCCCGCCTTCCAGCCTCACCCCCTCTTGCCCCGGCCCCCCAGAGTGCCCCCCTCCTGCCCGGCCCCCCGAATGCCCCCACGTCCGCTCAGGACTCCGTACTCCTGGGGACACACCTGGCATCCGGCCAGCCTCCTGATCAGACCCAGGTCGGCCAGAGGACAGCATCATGGCCGCCCCCACGGCCTGGCCTGTGGGGGGCTGTGACGGGTTCCAATGTCGGGGCTCCCTGGAGGAGGGGACCCGGGCTCAGGAGGTGCCGTTAGGCCAGGGGAAGTGGGGGGAGGGGGACGGCCTCGGTGATGGTCAGAGGCAGGAGCGAGCATCCAGGGAGGCGGGCGGGCGGGCGGGCAGGCACACACCGTATGGACCAGGTCTGTAGGAGGGGCTCCGTGTGCATGTGCACGGGTGTGTGCAGGTGTGCGTGCCCTGCGAACGCTGTGCCCTCCGTGTACTCTGCTCCCAAGGAGACGCTGCGGAAGTTCCAGGCGTGGGGCCAGGCCAAGGCCAGGCAGGCTGCGCAGAGGGCCCAGGCGGAGAAGCAGGTGATCCAGGCCCGCGGCGGCGATGCCTTCAAGCAGCTGTACCACCATCGCCGGCGCCAGGAGCTGGAGGCCCAGAAACGGTGAGGCCGGAGGGGCCGGCCTGGTGGGGGGGGGTGAGAGGGGCCTCTGCTTCTGCCCCAGCCCGCCTTGGTCCTGCCAAGCCCTTCCTCCACCCCCTGCCCAGGTCCCTCCCCCACTACCCTGTGCCCTGTGCCGGGCACTGCCCTCAGCTTACTGCCTGGTTCCCAGGTGCTGCTCCCAGCACCAGCCTGCCCTCCCTGCCCCCCCACCCCCACCCCCCGTCTCTTCAGTGCTCAGCTTCCAGGGCATCCCTCTCCGGCCGCCCAGACCAGAGCTCGGCGTGCTGTCATTCACCCCGAGACAGCCCCTGCGCCCTGTCGGGTCCCCCCACAGCTCCCAGGCACCGGCCCCAGAGGTGGCCCCAGGAGCCGCCCACCCAGCACCCTGCCGGAGTGCTCGCTCGGGCCCAGGTTTCTGCCCGCCCCTCCAGCCTGTCCCCCTCTTCCCCCTCCCCACAGCTGCTAGCATCTGCCCAGGTGCCTGAGCATCACCCCTTCCTGGTGGGCCCGGAGCAGCTCTGCCCCACCCCCACCCCCCCCCCCCCCCCCCCCGCCAGTCCCTTCGTCGGGGCAGGAGGGGGGAGGGGGCAGGAGCAGCTGGAGAGAGAGAGAGCGCGAGGAGCTCAGGCCTGCGGCTGCCTCCTGTGTGGGCACTCCGTGGGGCACCCCGGTTGCTGCAGGAAGCTCGCGAGGGCTGAGGCCCTGTGTGCTGTGGGGCCGGACCGGGCGGAGGTTCGAGGCCTGGGCTCCCCGGAGCGGGGCCAGGCCTGGACGCCGGCGGGGCCTGTGCTCAGGAGGGCGGGAGGCCAGCCACAGGCCTGCTCTGAGCCGCCGCCGTCCCCAGCGCCTTCGAAGAGAAGCAGAGGCTCCGGAAGCACGAGATCGTGAGCCGGCTCCTGAAGGAGGAGGCCGAGGAGAGCAGGAGGCGGCCGCCATCCCCGCCCGCCGAGGCCCCCGCCCCGCCCTCCCTGCGGGCTAAGACCTGGGAGTACCTGGCCGACCTCAGCGAGGGGCGGACGCCCCAAGCCGTGGGCCCGGAGGTGAGCCCACGGGCACAGGGCCCTGGGGACATGGGTGGCCTCCCTGCGTGAACCAGGCCGAGGATTCCCGCCCCTTTGGCCCCCGTGGTCCCCTCGGGGCGGCTCTGGGTCACAGCAGGTGGGCGGCGGCCACGTGTGTTCACCTGGGGGCCGGCCTGTCTGGGCGACGCACAGGGGTGAGGGGCGGGACCTAGGACCGGCACTCAGCAGCCACGGGAGCTTCGGCTCAGGCCGCTCCCCTCCCCAGTTTACAGGTCAAGACAGAAGGTCTGTCACGGGCCAGGGCCGGCCGGTGCCTGTTCCCCCACAGGCAGGTTACAGCGGGGCCAGAGACGGCGCTTTCTTCTCCGCCCCCCCCCCCCACCCTGACCGGGGCTGTCTCTGCCCCTCCAGTGGGGCCGGGAGGCAGGAGCCCGCCCAAGCCTGGCGGGCACTTTCGATTTTGTGCTGTGACCGCTGTGACCCCAGCACCTGAAGGTCAGGTCACTGGCTTCAACCACCGGCTGCCAGCAGCACTCTCAGGCATTTCCGGTCTTTTCCTGTTTCCCAGGCCTGACTGGGTCCCCGGCACCTGCCCTCCTCCCCTCCCGAGCCACCCGGCCCTCTCTGGGCCCTGACCTCTGTCCGACATCCTGTCCGGCTTGGAGCCCCAGCTCCGTCCTGTTACCACCCGGCGCTTCCGGGAAAACCAGAGATGCGGGCAGCTCATGGTCGGGCCGGTCGGGCACAGCTACCAGGGAGAGCCTGCTCCGTGGGTGTGGGGGGGCAGGGGTGGGGGGACATAGAGCAGTGTGGACGCACACGCCCCTATACGTGGGAACACTGGCGGACGGGGCCCTGGCCGCCGGAATGGGAAGCGCCAGGCCCTGACCCCGTGTCCTCGCTGCCGCTGGTCCCATCCCTACACCGGCCCGTCTCCCCCGTCAGGAGGAGGACGACAGCTCCCCCCTCGAGCACACCCGACTGATAACGTCCACCTCCAGCGAGTCCATGCAGGGCGACCCCCGGACGCTGCGGAGCCCCAGCTGGGATCACCAGACGCTGGCGGAACCCGAGATCGCCGGGCTCTGGAACAAGGGCTACAAGTCCCAGCAGGTACCTGCTCTGCGGCGTGAGGTGCTCCCGGCCGGACACAGGCTGCGTCCTTCATCCCCTTCCTGCCCCCGTGCCCCTGCTTCCCCCAGCCCCCCGGCCGGCCCCCTGGGGCGAAGGTCACGCCAGGACCCGGACCTCCCCGGCCTCTGGGGGCTGCAGGGACGCGGTCAGGGCTCGCTGTGGGACGATCCCCACTTTGTCCCGCTTCGTCTTCGGGAGAGGATTTCCGGAAAAGGCATGAGCTGAGACTGCCCCTTGAGCACCGTTTTCAAGGAATGTGCTCTTGCCGAGCCCTAGCCTCCTGACCCTGAGGAGCAGGCGCCACTGGACAGGCCGCCCAGTGCGCTCCCAGGACCGTGGCCACCGCCGTGGCTCTGTCCCCGCTCCGGTGGCCACGGCCAGGCCACACGCAGACGCGTGCCGTGGCTGGGAAGGCAAAGCCTCTCCAGTCCCGGGGACGCTGGGCTGATGGACCCAGACAGGAGCCAGGCCCAGGGAGGTGGTGGCCGGCCGGGGCAGCGAGGGCAGCAGGACAGCCAGCTCCTCAGCTGGGACACACAGAACTTTCCAGAAGGCCACCCTGGGGCTGGCCTGGCTCCCGAGGCGGGAGGCCCGGAGGGGAGTTTGGTGAAAGAACCGCCGCTTTGCCGCTCTCCCCAGACCTGCCGGGACCCTGGCCGGTCTCGTCCTCTCTCCCTCTGAAGTGGGGCGCCCACCTGGCTCACGCCGGGCTCCCCAATGACCCTCGGCCCAGGCTCTGTCCCTGTGACCCTAAGGGGCCCAAGGAGGACGTGGACTGGAAGCCGGTGCGGGGGACCAAGATGGAGAAGGACATCCTGGCCCGCACCATGGAGCAGCTGCGGGAAGGCATCATTCACAAGCAGGTGGTCTCCGGCCGCGAGTTCAAGGGCTGCCCCTTCAACAGCAAGCCCAAGCTCATCCACTTCAAGGTGACCTGTCGGGGGCGGGGTACCCGCTGCGGGGAGGGTGCAGGGGTGACCGGCCAAGGGGGGTGCCCGGGGCCGGGTGCAGGGGTGACCTGGGGAGAGGAAGGCACCAGGAGCTGGAGCAGGGGTAACCGGCTCAGCCCGCCTTCAAAGGGCGTGGCTTCTGAGTGTCCTGTTGAGAAGGGAAAGGACAGGCCTGGTCCATCTCTGCGGGGGAGGGGCTGCGGGCGCCAGGACGTACCCAGCCTGGGCCCACACTGTCCAGCCCCCCCCCCCCCGAATCCCCCAGGGCCCCAGAAGCTGGCTCATGCGAGTCCGGCACCTCACCCTGCTCCGGGGCCACAGAGGGGCAGCCGTGACGGGGGGGCCTTCCCATGCCGGCCAGCTCGGCCTCCCGGCGAGGGTAACCGCAGTGCCCCTAGGACTTCGACATTGGCAAAGTGTACAAGAAGAAGATGACACTCATCAACGCCACCTACACCATCAACTACTGCAAGCTGGAGGGCGTGGACGAGCACCTGCGGGACTTCGTCAGCATCCTGTGAGGGCGGAGGGCCTGCCACTCAGGCCCCGGCTCCCGCCTCCCTCCCCGTCCCCCCTGTCTCCCCCTCTCCACCTCTACCATCTCCCCCACTCCCAGCCCCCGCCCTTCATGGTCTCAGACCCGCCCAGGGCTCCGGGCTCCGATCTGGGACAGCTGCTCCCCCGGGGCCGCCCGGCCCCACGCTCAGCCCCCCTCTGTGCCTTGCACAGCGGCTGCCACGCTCTCCCTGAGGCCCCCACTCACGCTCCTCGTTCCTCAAAGCTCAGCTCCGAGTCCTCCTCCAAACGGCCTCGTTCCTTCCCGGGCCGGACCCTGTGGGCTCTGACCCCACGCCGCGGCTCCTGTCTACCACGTCCTGCTGCCCCAGCCTCTGCTCAGCCTCCCGGGGCCTGTCCTCCCAGGGGGAGAGAGGGATGGACCCGCTGCCCAGGGCCCCTCGGTCAGACCCCACCCAGGACAGACTGCATCCCACCTCTAGGGAGACCTTTCTCACCGAGACCCAGGCCAGGGCGCCGACACGTCCCCTGGGCAGCTGCAGCCCTGTTTCTGGAAATTTCCCTGCCATGGGGCTCCCTGTCTGGCATCGCCCTAACCTGGGGCCAGCGGAGGCTGTGGTCCCCTGGGGCTTTTCTCCCCCCTTCTCCACCCACCTACCTACCCACTCATGCTGGGGCACCCTGTGGGCCAGTCCTGGGAGGTGTGGGCGCAGCTGGGGGGAGAGGCAGGCAGGAGGGCACGGTCCCCGCAGGGGCCGCCCTCAGGGAGCTAAGCTCTGCATGCCTTCCCCATGCATGCTGCGTGCCGTCCCGTGGGTGCTGCGTGTGGTCCCGTGGGTGCTGCATGTGGTCATGTGGGTGCTGCGTGCCATCCCGTGCGGGGAGATGATTCGGGACCTGCCTGTGTCTGCCCGCAGCTTCGACCCCCCCGGCCCCATGTCGGCCGGCATGTCCTGTGAAGTGCTGGTCACCTTCAAGCCCATGGTGAGTTCGGTTCTGGGCGAGGGTGAGGCGGGTGCTGCCGGTCCTCGGCTCCTCAGCTCCGGGCTCGGCCCCGTCGGCTCCCGCAGGCCCGCTGCCCCATTGGTTCCCAAAAGCCGATCTCGTTCCTCCGGGCAAGCCCTGCCTTCTGGGTCGGGGTCTGCTAGGGGCCCCGCGGCCGTACCACCCTCAGGGCCCGGCTGTGCGCGGCCGTCACGGAGGCTCACGCTGCCGCTCCGTCCTCAGGTGGAGAAGGACCTGGAGGGACACATCTGGTTTCTGGCGCAGACAGGCCGGTTCTCTGTCCCGCTGAAGTGCTCCATCAAGAAGTGCTCGGTGCGTCCGGCTGGGCGGGGGGCCCTGGGGGGGGGCACAGAGGGGACATGTGGGTCTCCGTCGCACCCCCCTCCCCTAAGACACACTCCCCAGGGTTGGGGAGCCCTCTGGCTGTCCGCTCTGCAGCCCTGCCCCCCTTCTTAGTCGCCAGCCCTGGGGGGCCCCCACTTATTCACCAACCCTGGGGCTCCCCATTTAGTAGTCACTGAGCCCCTGCTGTGTCCCCCATGTGTGCCTGGTCTTTCTCTCACCTTGGACCCGTTTCACCCGTTTTGCCACTCCCGCCTCCCCCGCCAGCCTGCTCCCCCAGGGCTGCTCCCCCCACAGGGCTGCTCCCCTCAGAGCTGCTCCCCCAGGGCTGCTCCCCCAGGCTTTGGACAACAGGTGGGTTCGGCGCGGGCTGCTGCCTGGCCCGGCCACCCTCCCCTGGTCTCTCGGCAGCTGTCCCTGGACAAGGAGCTCATCAACTTCGGCAGCTACGTGGTGGGCGAGACAGCGTCCCGGGTGATCACGCTGTCCAATGTCGGGGCCCTGGGCACCGGGTTCCGGGTGCAGCTGGCGTCCGAGCCCTGCGAGCTGGAGATGGGCCCATCGGTTTTGCAAGTGGTGAGTGCCCCTGCCCATTGCACGGGGGGAGGGGGTCAGGCGTCCTGCTCTGAGCAGGAGATGCCCCTGGAAGCAGTGAAGGATGAGTGTCGCAGGGCCAGTGCCGCTCCAGCAGGTGGCAGCACTGCGGTGGCCCCAGCCTCAGAGCCTGGCCTCATGTGCCTCCGAGTCCAGTGGGGCCTCCCCGCCCACAGGGCTGTGCAGATGGGCCCTCATGGGTGCCACAGACAGCTCCCCGCACCCAGCTCCCGGGCGCGTGGTGGGTGCTGATGGGGGAGGGAAACAACCTTTTAAGACACTCGTCAGAGTTTGTGACACTTTCCTCTGAGAAGCACCATGCGGGCCCCCGCAGACAGGCCACGGCCCGGCTCCAGCCGAGGGCACGGACAGGTCCCGGCCCGGCTCCGGCCGAGGCCATGGACAGGCCACGGCCCGGCTCCGGCCAAGGGCACGGACAGGCCACGGCCCGGCTCCGGCCGAGGGCACGGACAGGCCACGGCCCGGCTCCGGCCGAGGGCACGGACAGGCCACGGCCCGGCTCAGGCCGAGGGCATGGACAGGCCACGGCCTGGCTCCGGCCGAGGGCATGGGCCTGGGTTGCAGTTGGACCCGGCCCCGGTTGGGCGGGTGTGGGAGGCAGCCGATCGGTGTTTCACCTTGATGCTTCTCTCCCCTGTCCCTTCGCTCTTTGTAAGAAACCAGCGGGAGAAACACCCTCGTGTGAGGAGTGACAGAGACGAAAGGCAGTGGCAGCGTGAGCCCATGCAGCTCTGTCCACCAGGGTCCACGTCTCCGTGGAGTCTCCTGGCGGCGGGGATGGGGTCCAGGCAGCGGTGGGGCGGCTGGGGGCAGAGGTGGGAGGCCTGGGGCGTGATCCCCGCCCAGCAGGGCCTGGGATGGTGGGTGAGGAGGGCACAGGCCAGGCTAGCTGGATGGGCACCTGCCAGCCCTCGGGGTGCTCAGGGTGCCAGCTCTGCACTCTCTGAGGGGCATCTGCCTACCTGGCAGCAGCTCCCCAAGCGGTGCCTCTCTGTGGCTCTGTGGCCCCAGAGCCGCAACGGCAGGCATGGGGGGGCTCCGAGACGGTGGGGAGCCACTGCCCCGTCTGGGCCCCGGGCGGCACTGTCTCCCCACTGCACGCACAGCAGAGCGGGCGGGGCAGTGAGCTCAGGGTGGGAAGCAGGGGTGGGGCTGGGCCAGGAGAGGAGCCTCACATCCTGAGCGGGAGGCAGGGAGGGGGGCAGGGAGGGGGGGGGCAGGGGGCGAGAGGAGCACACAGTGGCTCCAGGGCGGGCACCAGCGCCTGTGGGCTCCGAGGAGGAGCCAGGACCAGCCTTGGGGGCTGGAGCTGGCACTAGCCGCACCATCAGATGGCAGGAGCCAGCAGCACCCGCCCAGGCCGGCGGGGCTCCCGTGTGAGGTGAGGCAGTGCACACGCCAGCTCAGGCCGGGCTGAGCTCCTGTGTGGGGCGAGGCGGTGCACACGCCAGCACAGTGTGCGCTCTCCGTAGAGCAGCATGTTCACCTACGATGAGCGGAGCATGTTGGAGAAGGTCTTCCCCGCCGACTCTGACCAGCGGGTGGTCGGCCCGGAGCCCTACCTGACGGAGCAGGACCAGATGCGCAGCCCAGGTGAGGGCACGGCCATGTGTGTGGTGTGGGCGTGTGCGGGGGGTGGACGTGAGCCGGCACGGGGGTGGTGAAGAGGGGGCAGGACCACGGAGCAGCCAGGTGAGCGGGCAGCATGGCGGCCGCCTCGGAGGAGCCGCCGGAGGCCCTGCGGTGCGGCCAGTGGGACGGAAAGGGCTCACTCTGGCACAGGAAGCGTCGGCGAAGGGCGGCGGACGTGGCTTAGCCACCGCCTCCCCTCGGGAAGGTCCGAACGGGACATGAGGTGCCGGCCTGGGGCGCAGCCGGACAGAGGCGGGGGGAGGCAGAGGGGAGGCCTGGGGCCCTGGCAGGGTCGCTGGAGGCACAGCCCTGGGCCCGGGCTCGGAGCAGAGAGCACATGGACGGGGCAACTGGCCCGGCCCAGCCCTGCGCTGAGGGGGACGGCCCAGCAGGCAGAGCGGCTCCTGCCTCCCTTCCCAATTCTTCCCACTCAGCCATCCCTCCCCGCCACAGGTCACCCGGTCACCCAGCAACGGCAGGCATGGGGGGATCCTCCGAGACGGTGGGGAGCCACTGCCCCGTCTGGGCCCTGGGCGGCACCCCGGCCCCAGCCCCTGCCCCTGCCCCTGCCCTGGCCGCAGCCCGCAGCCCGCAGCCCGCCCTCCCCTCACTAGGTCCCTCTCGCCGGCCATGCTCCTCAACACACACCTGCTGTTTGCTCATCTCAACACAAAACCTCCCAAGTCCTTGTCCCCCCTTCTGCCTGGAGTGAACCCCAAAGACTGGCTAAGTGCTCTCTCCTCTCAGACTGCTGCGCCCCCTCCCCCTCACCGGGGCTTTGGGCAGAGCACCCCGCCCCCTTCCTGTCCCAGGTGCCACCCTTCCTCTCCCAGGTGCCCCCTTCCTGTCCCAGGTGCCCCCATGCTCAGAGCAGCAGGGGATGCAGAGCAGGGAGGGTCTCCCCCCAGCACCAGCTCCCAGGCCCCTGGGTCAGTGGGAAGGGTCGGGGGCCGTGTCTTGGGGTGGGCACAGCTTCCCTCTGCGTGGCCAGTCCTCACCTCGAAGCGCCTCCTCTTCTAGAGTCAGAGGATGTGGTCACCATCCTGCACATGTTCTCCAACGAGGACCAGATGGAAATCATGCTGGGGGAGGTGAGCGAGGCCTCCCGGGCCGCGTGCCGTCGCGGCAGCGGCCTCCCCGGGTCCAGCCGACACGGCCGTGGGGGCAGCCTCTGGGCAGTGCTGTCTGCCAGCTCCGTCCCAAGTGGGTCCGGCAGAGCAAGGGCAGCGAGGCCGGGTGGTGGGTGCAGAGCCTGCTGAGCTGTGGCGGCGTGTGTGCATGAGTGTGTGGATGCGTGTGTTTGTGTACATGCACGTGTGTGCGTGTGTGCATGTGTGTGAGTACGTGCAAGGCCTGCAGTCATCGAGGAGAGCAGTGCTGGGCTGGGGGAGCATGTGGGGGTGGGGGCAGGACCAGGCCGAGCAGGCTTTGTGGCGCTGCCCCCACTGCCCTCCGGGACACGCAGGAGGCCTGGGGGCGCCGTGAAGCAGGAACCTGAGCCGCACCATCTCGTCAGGTCACAGAGGGCTACATCGGCCCCTTCAGCTCCATCAAAGTGCCCGTCATCTTCTCCCCGGTCACACCCGGCACTGTGCAGAGCCACTTCCAGGTCACCTTCAAGAACCAGCAGTGCCCGACAGTGAGTGTCCTCACCTGCACGCCTCCTGGCGCCCTTCCCCCGCCACATGGCACGCCTCCACGCTCGCACCCAGAGCCTCTGAGATAAACAGGCCACGGGAGAGCCACGGCTGCAGGAAGCACAGGGCATGGGGAGCTACAGGGCACCGCCCTGCTCTCCGCCTGGGACCCGCCCCGCCCCGCCCCGCGCTCACGGGGCCGGAATTTGAGCTGCACCGAGTAGGACGACAGGGCCTGGATGTAGCCCGAGCTGCAGCCCCAGGCCACAGCCTGGCCCCCAGGAGCTGGAGCGTCCCGCAGAGCCTGTGCCTGGGCAGGAGGGGGCAGAGGCTGGTCAGACAGGGTCCCCTGTCACCCCGACGCCTCCAGGCCCGGCACCAGCGCCTGCCTGCAGGGCCCTCCTGGGAAGCCTCAGGCTTCTCCCGACCCACACACATGCCCACGAGCATGTGCACACATGTGTCCACATGGGTGTGTGTCCACATGGGTGTGTGTCCACATGCATGTCTGTCCAGATACATATGGACACATCTGTGAGCACACCGTCACATGCATGTGTCCACATGTATGTGTGTCCATACACGTGCATAAACGTGTGCACACACGTGTGTTCATACACACAGCCTTTGCTCTAAATTGCTAGAAATGTCTTTTTTTAATTTCCAAGTAGTTGAAATTTTTTTTGTTACTTTTTATCATTTGCGTCTGGAATTCTGCTCAGATGATACACGTGCACTAGCTCTCTTTTTTAATTTGTTGAAGTTTTGTTTGTGGTGAGAGGTGAGGGTGACTGCAGATGATGAGCAGATCTGCTGGCCGTGACTCCCATCCCCCTCCCCTCCCTGCCCTTCCCCTGTTGGCCCTCCTCTCTGCAGGCGGCTCCCGGCTCCCAGCTCCCAGCTCCGTTAGGCCCCTGCTTACTGCCACGTGCTGTGCCTCTCCCAGGCCCTCCCACACCCTCTCACCGTGCTGTCAGAGAGGAAGGGAGGGAGGGAGGGAGAGAGAATCATCAATGACAAGAGAAAATCATGGACTCGCTGCCTCCTGCACGCCCCACGGTGGGGATCGAATCCGAGACTCAGGCCTGTGCCCCGACCGGGAATCGAACCCTGACCTCCTGGTTCAGAGGTCGACACTCAGCCCCTGAGCCCCGCCGGGCGGGCTGATTGGGAATTCTCACAGTAGAGAGACTTCTCTGAGTCACACGCTGAGAAGTCCCTGTCCCCGCGTGGCCAGTGCTGACCTCCGTCCCCTCCCCCCCAGCTGCACTTCCACGTCACCGGGGTGGCGGTCGACGTGCCGGTCTGGGTGCCCGAGTCCATCGTGGACCTGAAGATCTGCATGTTCGATCGGCTGTACCAGGACACCATCCAGGTCCACACGCGGTGAGCGCGCCGTGGGCTCAGCCGGCTGGGTCGGGAGAAGCCTGAGGCGCTTCTGGGAGCTCTTCCAGGGCCCAGGGGTCCCCGGCCTGAGTCCCAGGTCCCACCCACCGGGACAGCCCTTCTCCTGCAGCTGCGAGGCCTGTGGGGGAGCCGAGGAAGGGAGCCCGGAGACCAGGGACCAGCCGTGACGGGGAGCAGGCCACAGGGTGGGGTGGGCACGCTGGGTCCTCTGGCTGGACCTGAGCTGGGAGCTGGGAGCAGGGACAGAACTTCACGGGGCTGCAGCCCCAGGCCACAGCCTGGCCCCCAGGAGCTGGAGCGTCCCGCAGAGCCTGTGCCTGGGCAGGAGGGGGCAGAGGCTGGTCAGACAGGGTCCCCTGTCACCCCGACGCCTCCAGGCCCGGCACCAGCGCCTGCCTGCAGGGCCCTCCCGGGAAGCCTCAGGGTCCTGAGAACCTGCGAGGGCTGTGCCCCGGTCGTGGTGTTCTCGTTCACGAGACCTCTCGCCTGACTTCGGGTGGGCAGACCCTGGCAGTGAGGTCAAGGCGCAGCTTGGCGTGGGGGAGCCCGACCACCAGGCCGGGTGGTGAGAGCCGGCAGGCCCCGCAGGCGGTGAACCCCAGGTCAGGCTCCTCCCCGCCCCCCGGCCGCAGGTCAAAGGCAGCCCTGCGCCTGAAGTTCGAGGTGTGCAAGGAACTCCGGGGCCACATGGAGCTCCTGCCCGAGACAGGCTACATCCAGGCCCTGTCGTCCTACTCGGTGCAGCTCAAGTTCCTGCCCCGGTGAGCGCGGGGCGGGGCGGGGCGGGGCCCTGTAGCTCCCCATGCCCTGTGCTGCCTGCAGCCGTGGCTCTCCCGTGGCCTGTTTATCTCAGAGAGGGCAGGGCAGAGAGCGCTGCTGTCCACTTACTGCTGCCCTCACCGGCTGCTTCCTGTCCCTGCCCTGACCGGGCTCAAACCTGCAACCTCCGTGTATGGGACAATGCTCTAACCCAGGGGCCAGCAAACCTCGGCTCACGAGCCACATGCCGCTCTTTGGCCCCTTGAGTGTGGCTCTTCCACAAAACGTGCGTGTACACACATTCAGTGAGATTGGAACTCCATGGCCCGTGCACTGACGTCGGTTTTCGGCCTGGGCGAGTCTGTTTTGAAGAAATGGTTCTAACGCCAAGCCTCACTCAAGGGGCCAAAGAGCCGCATCTGGCTCTCAAGCCGAGGTTTGCTGACCACTGCCCTAACCAGCGGAGCTCCCCAGCCAGAGCTAATTGCAGGATTGAAAAACACCACTCAGGTTTTTTTAAATAGAAATATTTACATAAAAAATAAATCAGCCTGCCCACTGAAGGGTCCCGAGTTTTATTCTCAGTCAGGACACAGGCCCGGTTGTCAGAGCGTGCAGGCAGCAGCTAATTGTTGTTTCTCTCTCCCTCTCCCTCCCCCTTCCTCTCTGGAATCAATTATACACGTGTGTGTGTGTGCAAGTGTGTGTGTGTGTCCATGTGTGCTCGTGCATGTGTGTGTGTGTGTGTGTGTGCGCGCGCGTGCATGCGTGTGCATGTGTGCACCACTCAGGTCAGTGTCACTGTCGTTCCCCGAAATACAAGGGAGAAGAGCTGATGCCAGTGGCTTGGTCTCTTGCAGACACTCTCTCCCCGAGGACGCCGGCAAGTATTTCGACAGGGAGAGCCGGATCCTGGAGGCCCCGCTGACAATCCGCGTGGCTGACCAGGTCTGGGGGGCCTCCTTGGAAAGCCGGTGTTTGGGGGAGCCAGGGTGCTCTGGGAGCTGGGCCCCCTGCGGGTTCCCCGTCACCAGGCCAATGACGGCTTCGGGACAATCCTGCAGGGGAGGTGCAGGAAGCGGGTGTGTGTGGTCAGCGGGGCGAGGGGCTCCCCAGGCTGCGGCAGTCCCAGCACCCAGACCCCATGTACCACACCTCACACACCTGCTCACACTCACACCCGCGCTGACCTCACACTCAGACCACAGAGCACGGCATGCACATCCTCAGGACACACACACATTTGTGCCACGTGTGCTCAGTCCACGTCTCCCATTGGCACCTCGGTTACAGCTGCATCCACGCCCTGGCAGGTTAGATGGCAGAGAGGGGTTCCTAAAGGGGTTCAGCGTGAGGGATGCGCTGGCCCTTTGCCCGTTAGGTCAAGCCCGTGGAGTTCACTGTCCATGCCACCGTCACCACCTCGGACCTGGAGCTATGCCCCCTGGAGGTGGACTTTGGCTACTGCACCATCTACGAGGCCATCCGGACCCAGATCAGCGTCTGCAACCTGTCCCTCCTACCCCAGGAGTTTGGGTTCGTCGGGGTCCCCAAGGTGCGTCATGTGGGCAGGGAGGCATGGGGGCAGGGCTGAGTCAGGAAGCTTGGGGCCCGGGTCAGGTGACTGCTGATGGAAGTCCAAGCCGCCTCCCCCTCCCACTCCTCTGCCCTGCTCTCTCTCCGTCTTCTCTCCATCCCTCCTGCCCTGTCGCTGCCTCAGCCCGCCTTCCTCCACCCCTTCCTCTCTCCTTCTCTGGCCACTGCACCCACAGGCTCCAGACCTGCTGCCCCCTTCCTGCCCAGCTCTGGCCTGCCTGGTCCGCAGGGCAGCCAAGACGAGGCCCCTCCTGGCTGCCCGTCCCCTCCTGGAGCTGCTCCTCTGTAGACCTCACTGTCCACTGATAGCACACACATGTGCTCACAGGCACACAGGCGTGCTCACACACTAATATATACACCGACGTACACGTCACACACTGCCGCGCCAGCCCCCACACGTGCCCCGCACTCTCATGACGTGTGTGTGTGTGTGTGTGTGTGTGTGTGTGTGTGTGTTCTCTTGGTGCCATGATGCTGGGCAGTTTGTGGACATCCAGCCCAACGACGGCTTCGGGACGATCCTGCCCCTGGAGACCTTGGAGCTCGACCTGATCTTCCAGCCCACGAAGGCCAAGGAGTACAACTTCGAGCTCGTCTGCAAGTCGGAGATCAACCGGTGAGTCAGGGCGGGGCAGGGGCGGTGAGGGGCCGACGGGCTCCTCAGACCTGGCACAGACCCCTGAGGGTAGGTGTGTGTGCGCGTGTGTGGACATGTGTATGAGTGTTTGGTGTGCCTGTGTGCATGTGAGAGTAGACACATGTGTGAGTTTGTGTGAGTATGTGTACATGTGTGTGGTGGGCATGTGTGAGTGTGTGCATGTGTGTGGGCCCGTGTGGCGTGCTAGTGTGATCACATGTTGGTGAATGTGTGTGTGTGCTGTGTGTGAGTGCACATGAGGGCATGATGGAGGGCCTGAGTGCGTTGCCAGAGGCGGGGACCCAAATCCTGCCGGTAGACGTGCTGCATGTGAGCTCATGGCTAAAGAAAGGCATTCACGGGGTGAGAGGCGCGGGGGTGAGGGGGCACCTGTTCCCGCGGGAGGCATGAGGCCACACGTCCGTCCCTTCCTGAGAGGAGGACATGTCACACGTGGCTCTGACGCCTCACCCCGTTCCCAGCTGCCCATGCCCGAATGAGTGCCTCAGGGGGAGTGGAGGCCATGGGGGTGGCGGGCAGCACCACCCTGGCACGGGCATTGGGTGGAAGCCGGGCCGGCTGTGGCTCTGCGCTGAGGAGGTGCGGACGGAGCTCCGGGCTAAAACCCCGAGGGCAGGCCCACCACCAGGCTCCTGTGCTCACACCACGGAGCGGTCTCTCTGTCTTACTTAACGATAATAAACATGGAACCAGATAAGCTGGCAGCGGCTCCTTAGTGACCGGTGGCTGAAGTTTTAACTGTCCGTTAACATGTGCACAGAGCCCTGGCCACGTGCTCCGCTGTGAGAGCTTCTTCCAGAAATGCCACGGGGGGGCTCAGTCCCCGGTCGGGCACAGACGGGAACCCGCCCACGAGGCCCGAGCTGAGGGGAGCACAGGCGGAGGCCGGGGGGGGGGGCAGAGCTGCCCCACAGCCTCCACGGGCACGGAGTGGACGTCGGGGCCGTGCCAGCCGGTGGCCCTGCGTCCCTCCTTGGTGCCCCGCTCGAGCCGCCGGCTCAGAGCCACCCGGGCCGGTGCGGAGGGCCGACCCCGAGCCGGCACTCGCTGACCCCGAGCGCCCGGCCGCCCGCAGGTGCTTCAAGATGACGTGCCGGGCCGTGGCCGTGCACCCGCCCCTGCAGCTGTCCCACTATCAGGTGAAGTTCGCGGCCACGGCCCTGTACGACATGTCGGTGGCCTCGCTGTACGTCATCAACTCGCACCTGAGCATGAACTCGCTGACGCACTCGGTGCCACGCATCGGCTCGGAGGACACCTGCCCCGTGGGGCCCACGTCCTTCCAGTTCCTGCTGCCCCCCGACTCGCCCATCACCATCTCGCCCTCGGTGGGCACTGTGCTGCCGGGAAAGGTGGGTGTGGGCCGGGGGGCACCACGGCCCGGCTCTGCCCCCGACACGGCCGGTGGGGTCAGCTCGGCCCGCAGCCCGGGCAGCTCAGGGGCCGCCGTGGCCGCGAGCTCAGCCAGGAAGACGCCAGCCCCGCCTGGGGGTCCGGTCCCCGTGACTGACGTGTGGCTTCGTTCCGCCACGCTGTCTCCCAGGCTCGGGCCAGGCTCGGGCCGGGCAGCCAGGGGGGGTCAGAGGCCTGGTCTCCAGGAGCACAAGTGCCTGCCTGTCCACTGGGCTGCTCCAGGGTCCCCCCCACCCCCCAGGTCCTCACAGCCTCTCTGAGTTACTTCCTGACCTCAGAAAGGTGGGGGCTGCTGAGAGGACTGTGTGAAGGGCACATGGAGGTGGGGGTGCAGGGCCCCCTGGGTTCCAGAAAGGAGGGTTATGTAAACTCATGGCATTAACGGTACAATACGCTTAGGGACGTCAAGCCTGGGGTATTACAGGACACCGCTCCGCCTCCCTCCTCTCCTCCCCCCTCTCCCCTGCTCTTTCCCTTCTCCTCCTCCTTTTCTTTCCCCTCCCTGTCTCCCCTTCTCTCCCCGTCTCCCCCTCTCTCCTGTCTCCCCCTCTCTCTCCTGTCTCCCCCTCTCTCTCCGTCTCCCCCTCTCTCTCCTGTCTCCCCCTCTCTCTCCTGTCTCTCCCTCTCTCTCCGTCTCCCTCTCTCTCCTGTCTCCCCCTCTCTCTCCGTCTCCCTCTCTCTCCTGTCTCCCCCTCTCTCTCCTGTCTCTCCCTTTCTCTCTCATCCCCCCAACGTGGTCGAGCACCTTAGCATCACAGCCCAGGGAGCTGCTGAGCTTCGGGAAGCCGCTGTGCTGGTCATGGGCGGTCGAGGGGCAGGAACTCGCCCCACACCTCTGGGCTGAGAACAGTTTCCTTCCTTGTCCACATCGGGGCGGGTGGGTCCGACCCACATGGCAGAGTGGGCTTGGGATCGCCCAGCAGCCCCCCTGCCTCCCAGGAGGAGTGGTCAGGGAGGGCTTCCCGGAGGGGGCATGCCACCCTGAGCCCCCAGGGAGATAGGCGCTCACCAGGGAGCTCGCAGGACCTGGGGGGAGTCAGGGAGCTGGGGCAGCGGGTGCTGGGGCGGGCAGCGGGGGGCCAGGGCGGGAGGTGGGCACCAGGGTGGGCAGGGTGCCATCAGGGCAGCTCTGCCCTCGACCCTCTCCCCCAGAGATGCCTGGTACAGGTGGCCTTCCGGCCTGTGCTGTCCACCGAGGTGATCCGCCAGCAAGCCTTCCAGACCCAGAGCAAAGACAGGGATGTCAAAGTGGGGCGTGGCCACCCTGAGGTGGGGACAAGGCTCCGGAATGTTCCCCGCCCTCAAGACCCCGGGCGGGAGGGCTGACTTGTCCCAGGGAGGCCCCCCCTCCTCCCAAGAAAGCAGCCACCGAGGGGGGACCCCAGAGGTGGCTCCGGAGCAGGTGGGGCCTCCCGGTCTGAGCAAAGGGAGGACTGGACATAGCGGAGGAGCCAGGTCCATAGGAGGGGGCGCCGCTGAGAGTGGCTGTGCGAGAATGGCCCCAGGGCCCAACGCAGGGCCAGGCCGCCTCGACCTGCAGGGCGAGGAGGACCCTGCCGAGGGCTCTGGCTGGACCTGGATGGCGCTCCCGGTGCTGTTTGTGTCCTGAGCGCCACTCAGACCCCGCCCGGCGGCTCTGTGCCCTCTGGTGCCTCGGGCCCAGTGCTGGCCGGGGATGGTCAGGACGGGGCTCTGCCCGCTGCTTGCTCCAGCCCCTCCCGTCTTCCTGAGGGAGCCACTTAGAGTGAGGGCGCCCGCACACCCATCCCCCACCCCACCCCACCGGGTTCCAGCACTGGCAGCCTGGAGGCTGGGGCTGCCCTCAGCCGCCTCTCGCCTCCCAGTTGCACAGGGAGACGACCAACCCCCGGAGGGACCGGCGGCAGCTGTCCATGTCCCTGCTGCGCATGCACAGCCGGGAGCACCTGAGCCAGGAGCATCCGGCCCAGGACTCGGCCCACCCTGCCCACCCGCCGAAGCAGCAGGAGCTCAAGTTCAGGTGGGCGTGCTGCCCATCAGACTCCCCACGGACTCCCATGCTGGACATCTAGGCCCTGCCTCGGCCCCAGCACCCCTCCTGGCGTGTCCCCGCCCGCCCGGATAGAGGGAGCCCCAGAGAGCTTGGTGGGCCGGGTCACCCGCCAGCCTGGGCCCCGGAACCCACTCCCTAGCCGGGCGCCTGGGCGGGACAAGGGGTCTGGGAGGTGGGCAGTCAGCTGGCCGGTCGGCACTGGCACAGCCCATGTGCCCCTGTGACCCGAGCCTGACGAGCAGGTGCCCCGTGCGGGGAGGGGGCAGGGGCGTGGGGCACGGGTGCAGGCATGTTGGCTGCCTCGTTCCAGCCCCGAGGAGTACCAGGCAGCCCGGGCCACGCTGGCCAGGACGTTCCAGGGCCGGTTTGACAGGATCGTGGTCCCCTGCGTCGTGGCCAGTGGCGACATCCAGGACCAGAAGGGCACGGAGCCCCTGAGCTTCAGGTGCAGCTCGGCCTGGGCGGGTAGCCAGTTAGAGGTCCCTCTTCCTCCTCTGCTCCCAGCCCACACCCAGGGCGCAAGGCCAGGGCGAGGGGGTGGGGCCAGAGCAAAGGCCAGGATAAGGGGGTGGGGCCAGGGCGAGGGCAAGGGCGAGGGACTGGGGCCAGGGTGAGGGCCAGGGCAAGGGGCTGGGGCCAGGGTGAGGAGGACAGAGAGGAGGACAGAGAGGAGAACAGAGAGTAGGACAGGGTGAGAGGGTGGGGCCAGGGCGAGGGCCAGGGGTTGGGGTGGGAGTGGGGCCAGGGCCGGGCACAGGGCCATCAGTACCCGCCCGCCCACCCGCAGCCCCCACAACACCCTGTTCCTGGAGCTGTGGTGCCCGGCGGTGGCTCCGTCCATCATCGTGGCATCAGACAAAGGCAACACCATCTCTAACTTCGGCGACGTGGCTGTAGGTGAGTCCTCGTGGGGCCCAGCCCCCCACCCCCACCCCCACCGGAACCCAGCCCCGTACCCACCTGCCCCCACGACCCCGTTTCAGGTCACCGGGTATCCAAGAAGGTGTCCATCCAGAACATCTCCTCCGAGGACATGTCCGTATCCTTGTCCAGCTCAGGGCGGGCCTGCGGAGGGGGGCTCCGGGGGGGACTGCGCCCGCCTCTGGCCACCCTTGACTCCGGCCCTCAGCTGGACTTCTCTGTTCTAAATCCCAACGGCCCCTTCCACCTGCTGAACCCCATGGACATGCTACCTGCCGGGGAGACCCAGGACCTGGTGCTGTCCTTCGCTCCCCTCGAGAGCACCCTGGTGAGTCCTGACCGCCATCGCCGCCCTCCACACCCCATGCCCCTGCCCGCCCAGCCCCCTGTGCCGGTGGGCCGCTGCTTTACCGGGCGGGCAGAGCAGTCTCGGCTCCAGCACAGGCCGGCTGCCGCTCTGAGACGGAGCTCCGCCAGGGTCCTGGCCGGTGTCCGCCCTGTGCTGAGGGGCCCGTGTCCGCCCTGTGCTGAGGGGCCCGTGTCCGCGCTGAGGGATGTGGTGTCCGCGCTGAGGGGCCCGTGTCCGCGCTGAGGGGCCCGTGTCCGCGCTGAGGGGCCCGTGTCCGCGCTGAGGGACCCGTGTCTGCTCTGAGGGGCCCGTGTCGCCCTGAGGGATGTTGTGTCCGTGCTGAGGGGCCCGTGTCCGCGCTGAGGGATGTGGTGTCCGCGCTAAGGGGCCCGTGTCCACGCTGAGGGGCCCGTGTCCGCGCTGAGGGACCCGTGTCTGCTCTGAGGGGCCCGTGTCGCCCTGAGGGATGTTGTGTCCGTGCTGAGGGGCCCGTGTCCGCGCTGAGGGGCCCATGTCCGCGCTGAGGGGCCCGTGTCCGCGCTGAGGGGCCCGTGTCCGCCCTGAGGGGCCCGTGTCGCGCTGAGGGGCCCGTGTCCGCCCTGAGGGGCCCGTGTCCGCCCTGAGGGGCCTGTGTCCCCGCTGAGGGGCCCGTGTCCGCGCTGAGGGATGTGGTGTCCGTGCTGAGGGATGTGGTGTCCGCGCTGAGGGGCCCGTGTCTGCCCTGAGGGGCCTGTGTCCCCGCTGAGGGGCCCGTGTCCGCGCTGAGGGATGTGGTGTCCGCGCTGAGGGATGTGGTGTCCGCGCTGAGGGATGTGGTGTCCGCGCTGAGGGGCCCGTGTCCGCCCTGAGGGGCCCGTGTCCTCGCTGAGGGATGTGGTGTCCGCGCTGAGGGGCCTGTGTCCGCGCTGAGGGATGTGGTGTCCGCCCTGAGGGGCCCGTGTCCGCGCTGAGGGGCCCGTGTCCGCGCTGAGGGATGTGGTGTCCGCGCTGAGGGATGTGGTGTCCGCGCTGAGGGGCCCGTGTCCGCGCTAAGGGGCCCGTGTCCACACTGAGGGATGTGGTGTCCGCGCTGAGGGATGTGGTGTCCGCGCTGAGGGGCCCGTGTCCGCGCTGAGGGGCCCGTGTCCACACTGAGGGGCCCATGTCCGCAGGCCCAGGAGACGCTGGACATCATCACCAAGAGGGGCACCCTCACGCTGACCCTCGTGGGCACCGGCGTGGCCTCCATGATCACCTGCTCCATCGCGGGGGACGTGCTGAATATGGGCTACGTAATCGCCAGGGAGTCCGTCTCCTCCATCTTCAAGGTGCCGGCCCTGCCCTGCCCAGGCTGTGGGGGGGGCACCGCAGGGTCAGGGAGCCCCCCACCGGCAGGCAGCCCTCCCTCCACAGCCTCCAACCAGGACACCCAAAGGTCCTGCTGGGGGCCTGCCTGGGGGCACTGCCCAGGGGGGCACGGTCTGGGGGTGCTCACAGGCCCGGTCCCTGCAGCTGCAGAACAACTCCTCGCTGCCCATCCAGTTCTCCGTGCGCCTGGCCAGCCTGTCCAGCTCCCGCCAGGAGGAGCTGCAGCGGCTGCCACGGTTCCTCACCTCCAGGGCCCATAGGACCCAGATCGTGGGTGAGCAGCTGGGGGGCGGGGCCTGGGGGCGGGGCCCTATGGGGCTGTGGGCGGAGTCTGCAGGGCCTGGGGCGAGGCCTGATGGGGAGGGGCTGGGGCCTGGGGCGGGACCTTATGGGGAGGGGAGGGGCCCGGAGAGGAGGGGAGGGGACTATGGACGGGGCTTGTGACAGCCACGCCCCTGCAGGCACGCAGAACCACAACGGGCAGAGCGTGTTCAGCGTGGTCCCGGTGGCGGGCATCCTGGACCCGGGCGCCACGCAGGACTTCACCGTGACCTTCAGCCCCGACCATGAGAGCCTGTACTTCTCGGACCGCCTGCAGGTCCTGCTCTTCGACAAGGTGCTGCCGCCCGCGCTGCCGCCTGTGGAGGCGGGGCCTGAGCCAGGGCCCCCAGCCTGGGAGGTGGGGTGGGGACTAGCGGCCTGCCCCCCCGGCCCCACCGGCGAGCGGCGCTGTGCTCTGTCGCCCAGAAAGTGTCCCAGGACATGCTGCTGCGGGGCGCAGCCCGCGAGCACATGATGTTCGTGGAGGGCGGGGACCCCCTGGACGTGCCCGTGGAGTCGCTGACGACCATCCCCTCCTCCAGTCCAGAGCGCAGGGAGGGTGAGCCTCTGAGGTCCCCCCGCCCACCCCACGGGGGGCCGCTGTAGTGGGAAGGGCCTCCCTCCGCCCCCACCGGCCCCAACCAGCGCCCCCACCAACGCCAGAACCCGAGGAGCTGAAGCCCATCCTGGTGACCCTGGATTACCTTCAGCTGGACACGGACACGCCGCCGCCCCCTGCCACACGCGAGCTGCAAGTGGGCTGCATCAGGACCACTCAGCTGTCCGCCAAGAAGGTGACCACCCTGCGCCAGTCCTCTTGCTGGGCAGCCCAGCCCTGACCCAGCCCTGCTGGTCAGGCTGGGAGGGCGGGCGGAGCTGGGTGCCCTCGCCCTTGCCCGCGCCCTCACCCACCCGCCGGCCCAGCAGCTCTGTTCCGCTCCCGCAGACAGTGGAGTTCAGCCTGGACAGCCTGGCCGCCCTGCAGCACAAGGGCTTCACCATCGAGCCCTCCAAGGGCTCGGTGGAGCGCGGCCAGACCCGGACCCTCAACATCTCCTGGGTGCCGCCCGCCGACTTCGATGTAGGTGCTCTGGCCGCGGGAGCCGGGGTTGCAGGGGGCAGCGGACGGGGGAGCTGGTGGACAGGCCTCAGCTGGCTGTTTGTCCCCCTCCCCCTCGTTCCAGCCGGACCACCCGCTCATGACGTCCGCCCTGCTGCAGCTCCGGGGGGACGTGAAGGAGACCTACAAGGTCTTCTTCTTGGCCCAGGTGCTGGCCGGGCCCTGAGGCCGCAGGGCCTCTGCAGGGCCCTGGACCCTCCTGCCCACCCTCGCAGCCCCCATCTGTGGTCCAGACCAGACCTCTCATGGGCCTGGGACTGGCATTTCTGCTGGGCAGCCCTGTGTGACCCCATGTCCGGGGCCCCAGCCCCACAGCACAGCTGCTCCCTGTAGCCCACTTGGTCCCGCCCATGGCCAGCTCCTGCTCCTGCCTGAGCCCTCAGCTCCCAGCCCCCAGCCCGGCCCACACCTGCCCAGTGGGAGGCAGGTCTGTCAATAAACCCTCCGTGTGACCCATGTGCAGGTGTGTGTGCAGGGGACCGCGACGCACACGAGCACAGTGTGAGGGGGCAGTCCTGAGCTCTGGAGGGTGGTGCCTGGAGCACTTGGGGGACAAGTGGCCGGGCAGGGCTGGGGTGGGATGGGGGGTAGCTTAGCCCCCTCTGCTGCTCACCACATCCTGATCTCAGATAACCCCAAGCAGGGCGAGAGCTAATGTGTGAGCCCCCTGCCAGGCCGGGAGCCAACTTATGACTTGGTTCCCTTTTCTGAACTGGGTTCAGACAGCCTCCGGGACCACTGCCCTCAGAATGGAAGCCGCCCCCAGCCCCGGCCCAGGATGTGCCTGCAGCTCCCAACGGTGCCAGGCACCAGGAGGCACTGCAGCCTTCCCAGTCAGAGGCTCAGGGCACCAGGCACTCCCTCACCCTCACCCTCACCCTGCCCCCTCCCTCACCCTCACCCTCACCGTAACCCTGCCCCCTCCCTCACCCTCACCCTCACTGTAACCCTGCCCCTTCCCTCACCCTCACCCTCACCCTGCCCCCTCCCTCACCCTCACCCTCACTCTGCCCCCTCCCTCACCCTCACCCTCACTCTGCCCCCTCCCTCACCCTCACCCTCACCCTGCCACCTCCCTCACTCTCACCCTCACCCTGCCACCTCCCTCACCCTCACCCTGCCCCCTCCCTCACTCTCACCCTCACTGTAACCCTGCCCCCTCCCTCACCCTCACCCTAACTCTGCCCCCTCCCTCACCCTCACTCTCACCCTAACCCTGCCCTCACCCTCACCCTGCCCCCTCCCTCACCCTCACCCTCACTCTGCCACCTCCCTTACCCTCACCCTGCCCCCTCCCGCACCCTCACTCTCACCCTCACCCTAACCTGCCCCCTCACTCAAGCCTGAGACAGTGGCTGGACCATGCAGGACTCCTGTCCAGTGGGCACAGCCAGGCTTCTCCCTACCCGTCACGGGCTAACCAGCTGGAGCCCCAGCTGCCTCCTCCTCGGGGGCAGCCACAGGGGAAGCCGGGGTCCTCCAGGCCCAGCCCAGCCCCAGAAGGTTCTCCCTGCAGGGGCGTTCCCACCTCCTCCTAGGGTGCCCGCGAGAGGGGCAGGCCCCTCCTGAGCCTGGTGTGGCCTCCTGCTGGGCCTGGGACTCAGTGCCAAGGTCCTGTCTGACCCCAGGGGGCCTGGAAGGCAGTAAGGCTGGAGGGGGTGGCAGCCTGGCTGGGGGGGCCCTGGAGGCTGCATTGCAGCCGGGGTACAGGACAGCTTTGGGACAGCGGCAGAGGTCAGAGATCAAGGGGCAGGTGCCTGGCAGGTCCTGGCCGGAGGAGCCCGGCGAGACCTCCCAAGGGGGCCACACTGCACTGCAGCGGGAGGGACACCCATGGAGCGTGAGCTGAGTGCGGCATGGACGGCCCTGCCCGGCGGAGCTTGGTCGCCGGATGGGGGAGTAGGGGACATGGTGAGGCTGAGGGGCGGCACCTGGTGGGGGGTGAGAGCTAGGGGGACCTCCTGGAAGGAATGATCTGGCCTTCCCCAGCCCACTGGACGGCAGCCCTCCAGGCCCAGACTGAACCTGGCCTTCAGACAGAGCGCCCCCAGAAGATGGTCACCCACAGGACACAGCAGGCCCAGAGCCCAGCCGGACTCCCGAGGGCCTCCCCCACGCCGGCCTCATGCTCTGCCAGCGCTGTGCACTGTGCCAAGCCTGGCTTCACTGTCCTGGGTGCCACCCCGCTGGCCTCAACTTCCCAGCCCAGCAGCAGGACAGGCCGAAGGCAAGGCCACCCCAAGCCCTGAGGCCACCCCCAAGCCCTGCGGCCACCCCAAGCCCTGCGGCCACCCCAAGCCCTGAGGCCACCCCAAGCCCTGAGGCCACCCCCAACCCCTGCGGCCACCCCCAACCCCTGAGGCCACCCCCAGCCCTGCGGCCACAGGATGCCAGGCTGTCCAGGAGGGCAAGAACGCGCCGAGGGCGGTCCCTTGGGGCCGGAGCCGGGGCGTGGTCACGGGACCCTGGTGGAGCTGGGGCGGGGCCTGCGCGGCGCGGGGCCTGAGGGCGGGGCCTCATATAGCGGCGGCGGCCGGGCCTGAGCTCCGCGCCGCCCAACATGCTCGCCGGGGCGCCGGCCGCGCGCGGGCTCCTGCGGCTGCTGCTGCCGCTGCTGCCGCTGCCTCAGGTGGGTCCGGGCGCCCGACGGGCTCCGGGGCGTGTCTGCGGGCGGCGCGCCGAGCCCAGCTCCCCTGTCCCCGCAGGTGACGCCCGGTTCCGCGGCCGGCGGCTGTGAGCCCTCCGACCAGTAAGTGCGGGCGGGGCGGGGCGGGGCGGCGGGGAGGCTGGGCGCGCTAACCGCCCTGCCCGTGCCCGCCCGCAGGTGCCCGCCGCCCGCCCGCTGGAGCAGCCTGTGGCACGTGGGGTGAGTGAGGCCGGAGCCCGGCCCGCCCCGCCCGCGCCCCGGGCCCAGCGCGCCGGCCCCGCCGCCCCGGAGGCTGACAGCCCCCCGCCCAGCCCCCCCACCCCGCCCCGGCTCCGCGCGGACTGCCCCTTCCTGCCCGCTCGCCCGCGTCCCGCTCCCCGCCCTCCCGGGGAGGCCCTGGCCCGGGCACCGGATCGCGCCGCCGCCGGGACAGCGTGTCCTGGGAGCGAGCCCAAGGCTGCCGTGCAGCCCGGAGGCGGCCAGGCAGCCGGACGCAGGCCCAGCGCCCCGGCCTGCTCCCGCGGGAAGGAGGGGCTGGCCTGGAGGGCGGTCTCTGTGTGTGTTTTTAATGATAGATTTCTTAAATGCTTTTTAAAATACTTTCATTGACGAGAGGAAGGGAGAGCGAGAGAAACGTCAATGAGAATCACAGATCAGCTGCCTCCTGCTTGCCCCATACTGGGGATCTGGACCTCCTGGTTCATAGGTTGATGCCCAACCACTGAGCCACCCTGGCCAGGCTGTGGTTCCCTCCACCCCCAACTTTTCCGCCTACCTGGCTGGGCATCGGGGAGCGGGTGGTGGCGGGGTGCGTCCAGCGGTAGGTGGTCTCACTCCCCGCCCAGGCTCGTCCTGCTCGCCATCCTACTGCTGCTGCTGTGCGGGGTCACGGCCAGCTGCGTGCGCTTCTGCTGCCTCCGCAAGCGGGCCCGCCCCCGGCCCCTGCCCCCGGCGCCTCCGGCCTGCGACCTGGCCCTCTTCCCCGGGGACGGCGACAGCCCGGCGCACAGCACCGTGACCTGTGAGTGCCGCACACACACCCTCCCGGCCCCCACCCGCTGGAGAGCCGGCCCAGCCCACAGACGCTCTGCTCCCCGCAGCCTACAGCTCCGTGCAGCACCCGCTGGGCATGCGGCTGCCCCTGCCCTTCCCGGAGCTGGACCTGGACGCCATGACCCCGCCCGCCTACAGCCCCGTCTACACCCTGGAGCTGCCCCCCTCCTATGACGAGGCTGTGAGGATGGCCAAACCCGGACAGGAGGAGCCGCCGCCTCCGTAGCCTCGGCCCCTCCCCGCAGCTCGGCCCCGGGCCTCCCGGAGGGCGGGGGGGCGGAGTCTCCAAGCCCAGCACCCCCAGCCGTCACCCTGGTGTCTCTGAGGGGGTGGGGAAGGTCTCCCAACGCCACCAGCCACCCTGTGCTCCTGGGAGACCCCAGCCCCCTCCCCATCCTTCCCCCGGGAAGGCCTGCCATCCAGCACATTGCTGCAGCCCTGGCCCTGTTGCTATGCAACTCCAGGCAGACAGACACACATACACACACACACACACACACACACACACTACATTGCTACATCCGGCCCCAGCCCCTGGCCCAGGCCCAGCAGGCCCTCTGCCCACAGGGAGTCCCGCAGGTCTGAGCCTCTGCGGCTTTTTGGAGAGAATAAACTTTGTATCTAAGTGGCCTCTGCCTGCAGGAAAGGGCTTGCTTCGGGAGGGGCTCTCGGGGCTCTCGGGCCGCCACCGCCCCCCAGGGGGACAGGGTGAGTGCTTGGGCCCGCCCTGCACCCAGCCTCACCTCTGCTGTGGCTGTGGCTGTGGGTGGGGTCAGGTGTCACAGCCTGGGTGCCTCTGGAGAACCCCTCCCCTTTCCTGACCCACATCTGAGCCAAGCCAGGCGGCAGTGGAGCCACAGGAGTCCTGGGGGCACGTTTATTGGCTACTTGCTGGGGTAGGCGGGGCGGGGCGGGGCGGGTAGGAGGGTGGGGAAGGGTGGGGCAGGGCAGGTGAGTGGGGTGGGCTGGGCTGGGGCTCCCGGTCAGTCAGCCTCCCCAGGCCCAGCGGCGGCGGCTCCTACTGCACCAGCTTGAAGGACTCTCCGGTCATCATGGCCATGAACTCTGGCGGCAGAGGGACAGGTCAGCACCCGCCTGCCCGGCCGTGGGCTCCCAGGCCCCACCGCCCCCCTCACCCTCGTAGTCGATGGTGCCGTCCCCGTCCTTGTCGGCCTCCTTCATCATCTGCTCGGCCTCCACCTCGTTGAGGGGCTCGCCCGCACAGACGTGGTTGATGGCCGTGCTGGTCCCGGCCCCGCCGGCCCGCCACCTCCATGGCGGCTTTCCGAAAGGGTGGCTCGGTCTGGGCCCCCGACTGCCCTCTCCCAGCCTCACCGGCTTCTTCCTCCATCAGATTCCACCGACCCTGCGCCCGGGGGCTCGGTCCATCACTGCTCCCCACCCAGCAGCCCTGACTGCCCGACGGCCCTACCATGTCTGCAGCCGGCCCATTTATCTGGCCTGGCTGCCTGGGGGCCCTGGGGCCCAGGGTCCAGATGCTTTTATGGCCAGGAGGTCCTGCTGCCTATTTCGGGACGGGCTTGGCCCTTCCCTGCCTGGCCCCGTCCTGGCTCTCCTCGGCCCGGGGCATCCCCTCAGCCTGGAGCCCCCCTCAGACCCTGGGTCCCAGCCAAGGCCTCCCCCTCCGAGGCAGGACCCGCACAGTGGCTGTTGTCACCTATTTGTGAGGGTTCCTGTTGGGTGTCCACCCCGGTCAGCATCCCCCTCGTGCCCGGAGGGCCTACACCTGGGCCGTGCCAGCGCCTGGCAGGTGCTGTAAACATGGGGAAGGCAGGCAGGCCTCTCCCGCTCCCCCATTCCCTCCCTCCCACGCGCGTGCAGCAGGGCTGAGGCCCCCGCCCCGGAGGCTGCCTCCTGTGGCCGGGGGAAAGGGCCAGGGCACAGGACCGGGGCCAGCCTGGCCACCGCGAGGCCAGGCCAGGTCTCCGGGCACACGGGGCTATTCTGGGCTTTTCGTGAAACCTGACCTCCTTTCCACACAGAGCAGCAGAGCCGGCTCCCGAGGGAGCCAGGAGCCAGGCTACTCAGTGACGAGCTGTCACAGCTGCACACACACCTGCACACACGGGCTGAGCCTGAGACAGGCACCCACCTGCCCGCCTCCCAGCACCTCAGCCCTGTCCCCCCGGCCCCTGTCCCCCCTCAAATGAGCACAAGACCTGTGAAGGGGGCTCCTCCCACCTTCCAGCCCCTGCCCCCAGGGAGAGCCCCAGACAGCCCCCTTAGTTCCCCTCACTGTCCCCCATCCCACCTGGTGTGTGGTCCCCAGAGTCTCACATGCACGCCCATGCACACACACACACACTACACCTGCACACGCACACACGTGCACGCACGCACACGCACACACACCTGCCCCAGCCTGGAGCCGCCTGATGAGTCTGAGCAGGGGAGCCAGGCCCCGTCTTCCCTTCCCTCACGCTCCCTACGCTGGGTCCAGCCTCCAGCTTCCCGCTGAGTCCAGACCAACTGCTGAGGCCACAGGATTTGTGCTGACGGGACAGGACGGCCGTGGCGGGCACAGGTCCCGGGTGGGCAGGGCTGGGAGCGAGTCCCCGTGCTGAGAGGATGTCCCCCTCACTCCTGTGAGAACCCCAAACCACAGGAATCAGAACTCCGCATCCACATGTCCACACACTGCCTGTGGGCGCCGGGGCAGGGACGCAGCCTGGGGGCAGGGGTGCGGGCGAGGAGAAGACACGTGGGCCACATCACCTCACTCCAGCGGGGCCTGGGCCCGGACGTTGGTCCAGCTCCGTGCCTCTGGATCTCGCTGTGCAGGGCTTTCTCGCCTGTTCATTGGTTCCGTGGTGACGTTTCCATAAAACATCACCCCACACAGAGAAGGGACACTGAACGTAGTTACATGCCACGATATTTTTATTTTCTTTTCAGAGAGCAAGGAAGGGAGAAGAAAGAGAAACGTCCATGCAGGAGCATAACGTCGATTGGCTGCCTCCTGCACGCCCCCTGCTGGGGGTCATGCCTGCAACGTGGGCATGTGCCCTAACCAGGAATCGAACCAGTGACCTTTGGTGCACCAGACAAGGCCCAACCAACTGAGCTATACCAGCCAGGACAACAATCTTTATTATTATTATTATTATTGATTTTTAAAAAAACACACCACATAGCCCTGGCTGGTGTGCTCAGTGGTTAGAGCGACGGCCTGAGGACCAAAGGGTCTTAGGTTCCATTTCCAGTCAAGGGCATGCACCTGGGGAGCAGGCTCGATCCCAGGCCTGGAAGGCTCTAGGGGCCCATTTGGAAGGCAACCAAACGCTGTGTCTCACATGGGTGTCTCTCTCTCACCCTCTCCTCCTCCCCTCCCACTCTCTCTATAAAAATCAGTAAAAAATTATCCGGGGGTGAGGATTAAGGACCAAAGAACACGCCCTCTAACGTGTACCGTCCTGACCACTCCCGCATGCACAGCCCAGGGACTTGAAGCACCCTCTATCCACTGAGCCACACCGGCCAGGGCCACCAGATTTTTTTTATTATTATAGGGACTTGGCTCAGTGGCTGTGGCGTCTAAGAGATTCCAGGACCTGCGGCTGCGAGCAGGAGGCCCAGAGAGCAGGCCTGAGAGCCCAGAGCACACAGTCCGAAGGCAGGAGAGGGGCTCCGGGCTCAGCTGGAGGTGGGGGGGCCTCCAGAGTCGGCCGAGCTCCGCCCTCCGTCTGCAGAGGCAAAGGCGGGTGTCCTCACCCACACCCGCCGTCCTCCCTGGGCCTACCTTCACCGACACCTGCCCCTGACCTGCCCCTGCCCCTGGCCCTGGCCCTGCTCCTGGCCCTGCCCCCCTGCCCCTGCCCCTGGCCCTGGCCCTGCCCCTGGCCCTGCCCCTGACCTGCCCCTGCTCCTGGCCCTGCCCCTGACCTGCCCCTGCCCCTGCCCCTGCCCCTGCCCCTGGCCCTGGCCCTGCCCCTGACCTGCCCCTGCCCCTGGCCCTGCCCCTGACCTGCCCCTGCCCCTGCCCCTGCCCCTGCCCCTGACCCTGACCCAGACCCTGCCCCTGCCCCTGACCTGCCCCGGCCCTGGCCCTGGCCCTGCCCCTGCCCCTGCCCCGGCCCTGGCCCATCGCAGGGTCCTGCCCTGTCATCCCCAGTCATTAGGGCTCAGGTTTTGCCCGGCACTCGGCCCCGCCCCCACGCTTGCTAGACCCCGCCCCTCTCCCTATAAGCCCCGCCCTCTCCTCCCATTGGCCCCGCCCCACACCCGATAGACTCCGCCCCCTCCCTCTCTGTCCCCCCCTCCGTCTGTTGGCCCCGCCCCGTCAATCAACCCTAACCCGGAAGCGGCGCCGGGCGGCCACTCCGCGCGTGGGCACCAGGCGGCGCTCGCGGGCCGCGGGAGGCCGGCGGGCGGGCGGGCGGGCGGGCGGGCGGGCGGGCGGGGCCCGCGGTTCCGGTCTGCGGCGGGAGCTCGCCGCCGGCGGACGGAGCTGGCGGGGCTTCCGTCCGGAGTCCACCGCCCCGGCCTCGGCTCCGCGCCCGCCCTCCGAGCGGCGCTCCGGTCCCACCGCCCGCGGACCCGGAGCGGAGCCAGGCCCGCAGAGAAGCCCCGGGGCGACCCCGCTGTGCGGACCGGTGGGGGCAGGACCGGGCCGGCTGCCTTAGGCGGCTGCGCTGCCGGGGCCCCGCCGCCTGCCCGGGCCCTGGCCCCTTGCTCCCCCGCGGGCTCGGGCTTACTGTCCCCGGGGCTCTTCCTTGCCTTCCTGGATCTCCTGTGACTGTGGCCACAGCGAGGTGCTGGGTAGGAAGCTGAGATCCCAGATGCATCCAGAGCCTCCGGCCTGCCTGCCCCGCGGCCCAGGGGCAGGAGCCTGGAGGGCTGCCCCGCACAAAGGGGAGACAGGCTGTCCTGCCTGTGCGCAGAGCCTGGCCTCGGGCGGCACCCCCAGCCCGTGGCGGGCAGGGCCAGGAGGCAGGGGCGGGCACCATGGCCCCGGCCTCAGATCTGACACCTCCCCAACCCAGGCCCCAGCCCCAGGGGCCGCCCGAGGCCATGGGGCCAATCAGAAGTCTCACCTGGCAGGCTCAGCCGCCCCAGGGGGACCCTGGGCAGGTGAGCCCCGAGAATAGCAGACACAGACAGTCCCAGGCTGACGTCAGAGAGCTGCCGGCCTGGCTCCAGGCAGCACCCTTGGGCCCCAACATCGGTTTCCAAAACACCCTGCCCGCAGGCCCGGCCACCCGGGAGGGACCAGTGTGCTTCGAGCTCCACCAGCACCCGCTGCCTGGGGTTCCAGCCCACCTCGTCCTTCCCCTTCAGGCCTCCTGCCGGCAGAGTCTCTGGCTCCGAAACCGCCCCTCCCAGCAGCACCCTCTCAGGGTCCTCGGCCCCCTCCTGCCTGCTTGGGATGGCTCCTCCGGG